TTCTAATTTCATAGTTTCCAATAATTTATTTGGTCATAACATTGTATTAGTGGACATACACAAAAGGAAGATAGCAAGTTAAGAATTATCAACCCAACAAACAGTAAATAAAATTCTTAAAAAATAGCCAATAGGCACTACAAACCCAAGCCAGAAATTTAGTTTTCAACATCTAAGTAGTAGATATTACCTGCTAGGTACCATATAGATTTCAGAAAAGTGACAACCATCTAATGCAGCAAACAGAGTGAATAAACAAAACATATAGCAAAAATATTAAGAACTTTGCAAAGTTTCCAGTTGAAAATTTCCTGCCATCTAAGCAGTGCACATGCAACCTATAGGTTTAGCATTTATTTTCTTGGAATCATTCAGCGTAGCATAATTATGCATTATCAAACTATATCGAATGGAAGGGAAGAAATACAAAACTTGGAATAAAAGTTAGTTTGATAAGAATACACCCCAGATAAAAATGAAATTAGGAAAAACAAAAAGAAGGAACGGGCAGAACGCACAAGCAACAAGAACCACAAGACAAGAGAGCTGGATGGCAACTAACACTTTCATTTTCAGACTCTAACTTTCCATACTCCTGAAAGTCTCAGCATTTGGCTTTAGGTTATGGCAACAAATTACTGAATAAATTGCCCAAACCTTACGATCGAACAGAATGACATGGAAGATAATAGGAAACTTATGATACCAGTCGGGAGTCAAATGCAGTATAAAATTATCTCAATGTTAGTAACAACAAAACAAAGTGTAACAAAACTTGCATTGCATTAAAATGACAATTTTGCTCCAAAAAAGACTAAATTTAATCCGCAATTATGAATTTGAAACCTAGGGAATTCAAAATTGCTAATAAGGATTGAAGCGAGAAAAGGAGAGCTAACTTACCTCCGGTGTCCCATATTTGAGCCTTGATGATCTTGTGTGAAATCTTAACATTCCTATAAGCGAATTTGACTCCTAAGGTCGGTTTAGAATCCAATCGGAACTCATGTTTCGACAACCTCGACAACTCATCGTTCGAGAACCTCGACAGAAGCTTCGATCTGCATTTCCCGACCGCCGAGTCGCCAGTCAGAACTGCCTTGAAAAGGTATTTAGTATTTACACTCTTCCTCATACGAATAATCTGCCATGGAACAGTTTCAAGCTCCGGCGATAGACCGGTGAGGAGCGTCTTTGAAAAGAATCAACACCGCCATATGAATACCTCTGGAATCACGAAAGATCAAAACGGCGAAAAGGGTACAGTAGCCCTTACACTTTTTAATATTTATTGAAATCACCCCTGTACCTTTTCCTGTTTTAAGTTACTCCATGTGCTTTTCCATTGAATGAAATCACCCTCCCAGTTTTTCTGATTAAAATAAAGTCAACTCAATTGCTACCGGCGAGAATCTTCCTCCATTAATCCATTAACACTTTGATGATGTGGCAATGTGGATCTCATTCTTTTTTTTACCCCTTAACAAATGAAAAAGTGAGGATAGGAATAAATAAATAGTAAAAAAATAAAATAAATTAAATTAAGAGGATTCTATTTATATTAAGCGGAGGACTCCATGTACCCACGAAGAATTTTTTAACATTCTCCCTAAAGACAAAGCAATTTAAGGACTTGCTTAGGCCTGTCATTCTTTTTGACAAAGCAGATCCTTGCCTTTTTCTTAGTTATTCCATTGAAACCTTGGGTTATAAGTGCTTGAATTTTAATAGTATGTTTGAATTAAAAGAAAAAATTTTTTTATTTGATTATCAAAAAAATTAGAGAGGAGAGGAGAGGAGAGAAGAGAAAAAATTCTTTTTACTTTATTTTTTCTTTTAATTTAATTATTTATTCAAATAAAAGAAAAGGAAAGAAGTAAAAGGAAAAATTCTCCTTTATTCCTTTCCTCTCCTCTCTATTCCTCTCAACCTAAACATAGGGTAAGTTTGGCAAACTCTACTTGTTTCATCATGTTTTGAATGAGTCATACTTTCACTTCAAAAGCTCCAATTCTCCCATTCCTTTTGAAAATTTCCATACATCCTAAAAAACATCTATGTGTGACCTGTCAGTTGCCCCACTTGCAAGTTCTCGACAAGAGCTCTCAACACTGTTCCCTTTTGCAACAAGTCATCATCTTCCTCACAATTCCCACAACCCCACAACTCAATTCTTAGAATTCTATAATTGAATCCCCTCTGCCCATAAACTCAATTTCCTTTCCCTCACAAACTTCAAGTCCACCCATGCCTAACATCCTTCAAACCCATCCTCTCCACTTGGCTAACCTCGCAATTCCCTAGTGTTGGAATAGGCCCAACATCCAAACAAGGCTGTGCATAACGGGCCTAGGCTGCCACCCACTAGCCCAAGTTGAGGGAGCACCAGTGCAAGCATACCCACATGACCAGCGCCACGTGGACCAATGAGATGCTTACATGTACAGATGCATGTCAGCACTAGGGGGCTATAAATACCCCCCAACTACCTCCGATGAAGATAATTAATCTCTACGCTTCTCTTTCTGCAATTACTCCTAGAGAGCATCTCTCTCTAGAACATCGAGTATTGTTAACTTGAGCGTCGGAGTGTTTTTCTCGAGGAAACATCATCGGGATTTTCAGGTGTAGAAGTAGCTGAGGACTTCAACAGTGTTGGACTGTGAAGCTGCCCAAACATTTGGCGCCGTCTATGGGAAACTGAACAACAAGTTGTGTAGCCTAACCTGCTGAAAGGCAAAATGGTCCGTACCTTTACTGGAAGTCGCCCTCCAAGAAATGAAATGGACGAACAGGAGGACACTCAGCTATCTGAGCTCGGCCTTAATGACTTTAGACCAATGCCGAGAAACCTTTTCGTTGGGGGAGTAGAACAAGATCAATTAAGTGAAATAGATGATGATGAAAGAACACCAACAGGGTATGCAACCTAGCCTGAACAATTCCAAATTCCAACAGGAACAAGGCAAAGACATCCTAGACCGAGCAACTCACAACAAGAATGACCTGAAAGGTCCACTAAGCCTGCTCGGACAACCAAGCTCGAAGAGAGAACCAGAGTTCTCGAAATGGCAATGGGTAAAATCCTTGCCCGTCTGATCCTAGATGACCCCCTGATTCCTTTGTTGAACAGGGATGCACAGCCAGCTGTGGTTGTGGCAACTCGAAGCTCCCCCGCTCTAAGCACCCCCGCTCTAAGCAACATAATAGTGCCGACCAAGCCAAGGGGAAGTGGGAAGCTAAACAACAAGCCCAGCTCGTCCAAACATAGTGAAGAAATGATGAGAAAGAACGCAGACCTTGAAAGACAGCTGCGGGATGTGCAAAAATCCATTGACGAGCTTAAAAGTCCCAAGTCGCACCAACAGACCCTTGATTTGGATAGTGCTTTATTGAATCTATCCATCACAGCAAAATCGTATCAAGAGGGATTCAAAATTCCCCACCTAGAGACATATGATGGCTTAGGTGACCCAGATGAGCATCTACACACCTATCAAGCTATCATGAGAATCCAAAATGCCAACGTTGCCATGATGTGCAAAGTGTTTCCAACGACACTGAAGTCAACAGTCAGAAGATGGTATCACAAACTCCCCAGATATTCTATAGACTCATACTCCCAGCTCGCCAAGCTATTCTCCAACAAATTCGCGAGCCAAAGGGAGATCAAACGCACCGCGACCGAGCTGATGCAAGTTCATCAAAAAGAAGGGGAATCTCTAAGGGACTACATGCAGCGATTCAAAAAAGCCACTTTAGACATTGATAACGTTCCCGATACCATCTGCTTGTCTGCCTTGCTGCATGGTTTGAAGTGTGGTCGGTTCCTAGACAACTTGCTAGAAAACCCACCGAAGACGTGGAACGAAGTGAATGACAGGTCGGCTAGCTGCATACTGTCCGAAGACTTCCAGTCGTCCAAGCGGCGAGCTGACGATAAGTAGAGCAAAGGCCAAGAACAACCATCAAGGAGAGAAGAAAAGAGAAAGCAAAAGGTCAACGAGCAGTGGGGGAAGCCCGCTGACTTCCCCAAGTATGCCAATTACATTCCTTTGACCTTGCCAAGGTCTCAAATCCTGGCACAAATCCAGCACTGGGTTAGGAGACCCCCACCCCCACTGCATGATTCCCCAAGGGCAGACAAGAGTAAGCATTGTGACTACCATCGTGTATACGGTCACAATACAGAAGATTGTCAACACTTAAAGGACGAGCTGGAGTTCTTGGCTCACAATGGGAAACTAGAGGGATATGTCCAGAAGCTCCATACCCAGCAACCCACTAAAGCTCACTTTGTACAAGGGTATGATCGACCTCAGGGGCAGAGGTACCAGGTCAACAACGCACAAGATGCGTATCAGGATAACCAGTATCCTTCTGAGCAAGGCAGGGCATATAAGGGACGTCAATTGAATAGGCGAGGCCAGGGACAGAGAACTACCACCCTGAACCAAAAAGACAGGAAAGGGGTGGGTTATGCTGGGATCCCCCCACCCTTAGGCACAATCAATATGATCTCAAGTGGTATACACTCTGGAGGCCAAAGCGCTCGGGGCCATAAGGCATATGCTCGATAGGTGATGACCATTAACAAGAACAGGCCTCTGAAGCTGCCATTCGAGGCAGAGTGGGAGAATACGCCTATTACATTCAGCCCGACAGATTACCAGTGAGTAGAAGGAGAGCCCAACGTTATGATGCCCCATGCTGATCTTTTCGTGGCAACGATTCATATAGGCAACGATTCATATAGGCAATCATAATGTCAATAAGGTGTTTATCGATACTGGTAGCTCGCTAGATATCCTATATTGGAGTTGTTTTCAAAAGATGCAACTGAATCCGAGCTCACTACAGAAGTATGAAGGGCCCATATATGGTTTTGACAACCAGCCCGTCCCGGTTGAGGGAGTTATTACCCTTCCCATATATGTAGGCTCAGAACCACGCTTTAGGATGGCTTCTATTAACTTTCTGGTTGTTAAGATGGATTCGGCTTTTAACGCTATATTAGGAAAAGCTACCCTGTGCGAGCTGAAAGTTGTTATTTCACAACCCCATCTCTGTATGAAATTCCCAACTCCTCGGGGGGTAGGAGTGCTAAAGGGGAATCAGAAAATGGCTAGAGCTTGTTATCAAGATACATTTAAGAAGGTTGAGCTCGTTGTAGCCCCGAGAGGCCCTTCTGGAAGTAATAAGCCGACTCAGCCCGGTCAACAAACAATGAGCATATCGGACATTGAGCACAGACCTGAGGGTGTCGAACAGAAAGCAGAGCCAATAGAGCCAGTAAAAACAGTTCCTCTAAACCCTGATGTGTTGGAAAGAACAGTCAAAATCGGCACCAAGCTCACAGAGGAAGAACGGGCAGAGCTTCTAGAGTTTTTGAGGGTTAATCAAGACTTGTTTGCATGGACTACGGATGAAATGCCGGGCATCCCAGCAGAGTTGACAGTCCACAAACCCAGCACGGACCCCACCAAAAGGTCGGTGGTGCAAAAACGTTGCCTTTTTGGCCCTGAGAAGCAAGCCACTATAGATGAAGAGATACAAAAACTACTACAGGCAGGCTTCATTAGGAGGGTTGGATATTCTGAATGGGTGTCCAACCATGTGCTCGTCAAAAAACCGAGCGGCAAGTGAAGAATGCGTGTAAAGAGGATAAGAAGAGGGCTAATACTCATGAAGAGAAAGGGGATAAGGAAAACACTATCGCAGTCAATTTTGATGAT